TAACAGCATATGCTGGAATAGTGCAGGCAGCTGCTGGTGCAGGAATTTATTAGACTGAGACTGTGACTGTTCAGCTGACCTCCACAGAGCAGAGGCCTGGACTGGACAGACAGGTAAGTACTTACTAAGACTGCTGCAGATAAATTTTAGGCCCTTCTCTGGCTTTTAGCATGGAAGTTTTTAGTTTCTCATACCAGACTCCAACCCAAATATGAAAGAAAAGGCAGTACTCCCACTGCACCTGTCAGCAAGGACCAGCAATAGATGTGGCACAGTACTGCCAGCACTAGCCAGGCAAGGAGAAGGGAGACACTCGCTGTTCCTTATGTGAGGTCACCATAAACACCCTCAACTGACAGCCTCATTGTTGGAAGTCCACTATTCTTTCACTTCTATGGATTCTAAAAAGGCAAGGAAAAATTCTTTCTCAACACTTGGACCAGTTCCTTTTCTTCCAGACAACAGGCATGTTTTAAACCTCTGGTTAAAATATATAAGTGGGGGGAGGACTAGGGATATAGTTCAGTTGGTAGAGTGTTTGCCTCACATGCACAAGGCCCTGGGTTCAATCCCCAGCAACACACACACACACACACACACACACACACAATCAAGTGGAAGTTAAAGCACGACAAGTCCTAGGCTGCAGTCTTGACCCAAGTATATCCTTGACACGTGTACTGTGTCACTCTGGCAGCGTGGGCAGCCTGAGTTCATCTGACTGGTGCAGGGTATCTAGAAGCCCATTTAAAATGCCACTTCTGGGCACAGAGATTCATCAGACCCTCACAGGCCCTACCCAGTGCACCACTTTACTGACCTATAACACACATTAATTAAACATTAATTAAGAAGTGATGTGGGAGATGAGTTCCCACCCTGCTCTCTGCCTTAGCAGGGATTCTATGTCTCTGGACTGTCAAGGGTTCTTCCACGTGAATCCCTCCTCTCACAGGAGAGGCCAGACAGCATCACCAGGTGGAGGTAGCTACCTGCTGAAGGCATTCCAGCCCAAGAGTTGGAGGTCTGGGTGGGCTTGCTGGTTTCCAGAACTACTGCAAAGATTCAGGGATCTCCAGGCCCCTGAGGAGAGGAGCAAAAGAAAGTCATTAGTAATCAACTATTCATAGCCTCAGCCAGACTGAATAGCTTTGCAGGTGGCCCCAGGGTTCTGTGGAGAGGCCTCAGGCCTCTACTAATAGTTACAGTGTAGTTGACAGAGTAAGCAGGGGCCTCACCCAAAGTGAGGTCAGGTGGGCTCTGTAGAATGAGGCAGGACACTCAGACTGGACAGTGCTCCTTACTGCACTGGGCAAGGGCCACCTGTAGGATCCCTTGAGGAGCTTATAAACATATTTCTGAGGGGCCAGCCTGGAAGGCACATGTTCAACCAGCCCCAGGTAATCAGATGCAATTCCTCTGGAAACTACTAAGGAAGGTTCTTCACCCTTCCCCTGGAGTGGGGAGGGGGAGGAGAATGTGGAAAAGCATCCCTTAGAGTGCAATTCCTTGGGAACACTTAGATGGTGGAGCATTCCATGAAAGTTAAGTTCTAGGTCACAAAAATCATTACATTGGCTTTAATATAATTAGGGGATTTTCTTTGTGCTCATGTTTGCTCCCCACTGAATCTCTCGGTCTCATTCTCATTTTGCACATGAAGGTAGACTGCTTTAGCCAGAAATTGTAAAGATCTGCAGTTCTCTACTTTGTGGTAAACTGTAGAAGCTTAAAGAGGCAGGTCTTATTTCAATGTACTTGTAGGAAGCTCTTCACAGTTTTTATCCAGTTTCCTTCTAGTTTGCAGAAGTGAGCTTCTTTTCCCTAAGCTGAAGTCTTCCAGAGCCAGTGTGCTTCTGGGTTTGGGGTGAGAGTGAGACTTCTAAAACCTCTTTCCACAAACTTTGAACTTAAAGCAAACAATATTTTGCTCATGGTGACTGCTGAGTGAGCAGTGAAGTGCAAGGGGTTGACCATGTCTTCAGTGTGTGCTGTGCAAGGCTCCAGGCCCCAGAACCCACTGCAGATGAGCATCACATGTATGGTCTTTAGGAACTGTGTTTTTTCTCCCTAGTGCCAGCTCAATGCCTGCTAGTTTGGGGTGCTAGCAGTCTGCAGCACCAGTGCTGGATTATATGAATATGGATTTTCTTGGGAACCTTTTTAATCCGAATGGTCCATTCTCTGCCTAGTGGCCTGCCTCGTCCTCCATATCTGGTCTATGTCAGGAATGTGAAAAGTTGTGGTGTTTCAAAAATTCTGACACCAGAATCCCTTTTATTTAAAATTATTGAATAGCCCAAAGAGTTTTTGTTTATATGAACAATTCCTGTTCATATTTACTACATTAGAAATTAAAACTGATAAAGTTTAAAAATACTTGTATATCTATTTTAAAATAACTATAATAAACTCATAAATGTATTATGGAAATGGCTTTTCAAAAAAGGTAAGAAGACTGATGTTTTACAGTTAAGTGTCTTGCATATCTGATTTAAATAGAATCAGCTGGATTATCATATTTGCTTTATTCTCTGTGTTGTGGTTATGTTATTTCAAGTCCACCAAAAACAAAAAACAAAAAAAACCTACTGACTCCTCAGATCTGTAATTAGAAAACAGAAGGGTGACCCCTGAAAGGGAGACCCTCAACCCCCACCAAGGGCCTTCAGACTGACCACAGTTGTGAACTGTTGACCTCTAAGAAGGTAAGATAGGAATAGAATACAATGTAGAACATGGACTGCACCACAGAGTCAGATGGACAAGGCATTCTCCCGCCAGTCAGGAGCTGAAGGCCGAGGCTCAGGGCTCTTCCCCTACCTGGTGTGGACCTGAGCACCCATCTTACTGTGCTGAGTACAGCACTCTGTGACTGAAAATCGCATTTAGAATCTCATGGAACACACTGGGAAATTTTTTCTAGCTTGATAAGTTTCTGGCATAAAGAAAATCAGTTACACTTTCTAAGACTCTGCAACATGGATGACTTGACTGGTTTGAGTAGTAACTAAAGATGGGAAAGGCTAGGGTTCACAGGTATTCAGTGAATCTAGGAGGTGATAATGTTTATTATTATTACCTGGAATTTATAGTAGCTTTCTAACAGGGTCGATTGCCAGTATCTCATTGGGGGGTGGCTCTTCCTGCCCAGGAGAATGTAAGCCACCTTAAAACTTAAAATGTCTCAAATAATTAGTAAATAACAAAACACAAACATTCAGAAATATATTTACAAACACAAAAGACCCTGATAGATCTTGTCCACATTAGCTCTGGAACTAGACAAAGAGAAGATGGCTCTGGTGTTTTATTTAACAGGGTACATCAAAGGCAAGGATAAGGTTTCAGGGGCTGAGTCTTGCTTCAAGATGTCTAGTAGTCAGGTTGATTGGCATCTTCTCAGGTCACACCTGTCTCAGGTGCATGTGGGATCTTTAGCAGAGTTTGAGTGGTAAGTTCACTGGCATCAGGTGGTCAGTCGCTGTGGTGGGTGCTAAGGGAAGTTCCCACTGCCACTTATCTCCTCACTAGGCTACCATGAGCAACGGTCTGCACACAGCCCACAGATGGCACATGACAGCTCTCTTTTCTGCACAATTGAATTTCAAATTTTGTGAAAATCAGTTATTGAGCTGAAACTTTCCTTTGCCTCTGGAAGTACATTAGTAAAATTTCCAGGCTCATGTGGAACATTATAGTTAATAAAGTAATATAGGGTCACTCTTCTACCTTGAATGTAAATTGTTTTGCATTAGTACTTCAGAACTGTGGTATACATACCTCTTTTTCTCTCTGTCTTGTTTGGAAGTGGGGTCTTGAGAACGTGTGTGGTATATATCTGCCAGATATGTGTCTTGCTGTTCTGCTTATGTTAAAGAAGCGGAGGCCGAGGTTCAGAGAACTAAATAGTCTACTCAGAGCTGTACATGCCAGAGGTGGGAGGTGGGTAGGCAGGGTTCCAGACTAGTAGAGTAGAACATTTGTTCTGTGAGCACTGCGGAGAATTTTATTACTTTTTAGCAGCAGAGTAACATAGACAAGGAATATCTAGGAAAGAATTGTTGGGGAGAGGTAGAGCCGTAAAGAAGTGACTACAGAACAGAAAAGACGTGACGTTGTCATACTCTTCAGTCACCTTCAGACCAGCCCATCTGGATGGATTAACCACTTTCTCAAGAAGCTGAAGAAAACATATAAATTAGCTCCCTCCTCTGCTGAGACCAAATAACTATAAATAACATGTGGCCAGATGCACCTCTATTGACCTGACCTGTGTTCAAGCGCGCCTGTAAATATCCTATCTTAGCCAGGAGCTTTTATGCTCCCTGGAAACCCGCCTCCTGTGCGTCACATTCCAGAGGGAGGGGACAAAAAACAGAAAAAGCCCCCCCCACCATTTTATTTGAATGTCAGCTTTTGGTGAAGATAATCAGGATTTTTGAGACGTTTCTGTTATTTTTTTTTTTAACTCTCTTCTGTAAGGCAACTCTTGGGTGAAAGGAAACACCCTCTGCCCGGCAGCCTGTTGGGGGACATGCCTGTGGTTTGGAGTACATAAATGTGCATGCGATGAGACGCATTTGCCAGCAGAGTCCATGTGGTCTTGGAAAGGTTGACTGGGGGGCCTGTAACAAGAGAGTAGGGTGGGGGCTCAAGAAACCAGGACTATCATGTTCCTCTTGAGAATGGAAGTTCAATGGTTTTCTTTTTGTTTTCTGTTGAAATGTAGACATTTGCAAGACCAAAGATCATTCTGATTTTTTTCACCTGAATCACCACCAAAAAAATAAAAAGCTTGATTTATTGCTGATTTTTGAATTGCAAACATTATTCCAGAAACAACCAGCTGACCTTGTTCAGAGAGCAGAGGTGGTGTTAAAGGCTGATTTATGTTATGATCCAGCTTCTAAAGATTGTTGCTTTAATCTGAAGCACATTGCATTTCTGGCTCAGTAGTCGTTCTTTTTCATTATAATTTCTCTGTATTCTCTTCCCAGGGCGAACCTTTCCAACACATCCGTATTTCTCTGCCCAGCTCGGAGCAGGGCAGCTGTCACTTTACAACATTTTGAAGGCCTACTCACTTCTAGACCAGGAAGTAGGATACTGCCAAGGCCTCAGCTTTGTGGCAGGCATTTTGCTTCTTCATATGAGTGAGGAAGAGGCGTTTAAAATGCTCAAGTTTTTGATGTTTGACATGGGACTGCGGAAGCAATACCGGCCAGACATGATAATTTTACAGGTATAGAACATTCTTTATGTCTTTAATAATAAAAATAAATGCTAAAAATTTGTGTTGTCCCTCTCATGTAAACCTAGGGAGCCTTTCTAACACCTGATAATCTTCTAATAGTCGACATTGCTGATAGCTTTTTCTCTGCGAGACATTGTTTCTTGTGCTCTGTAGACTTCCACAATGACCTATAGGAAGATACTATTAATTGGCTCATTTTGTTGATAGGAAAACTGAGGCTCAAAGCAGTCACATCTTTGGGCCAGGTCACACAGCTAACAAGTAGCAGAACTGGTCTCTGCCTCTGAGACCTGCTTCCCAACCCTATCATCCAGGGTTCGGCTCACATGCCACGTCCTGGGAGAAGCTCTTCCTGATCACTGTATGCTGTGACCTCCCTCTTGCACCCCAGCACACTGTCACATCAGCCTCCTCATTTCTTTGGCATAACATCTTTGCTGCCAGAAATTACCTTTTTTTTGTTCATTTGCTCGTTGACCTGTTTTCTGGCTTTGCTTGGCGTGTGAGCGTCATGGGAGGGGAGGTTGTGATAGTGTTGAAGCTGTGTCTCTAGTTTCAACAGTGGTACCCAGGGTGGAGTGGGCGTAGGCAGTATCTACTAAAGGAACAGGTCTGTTGAAGGAGGCCAGACTGAGCAGCATGTCCACACGCCGGGCACTGCCCTCCACATTTCAGAGTGAGGAAGAGCACTGGATCCTCCTTTGGGAATATATCTAACTGTTGCTTAAAATGTTGGAACTTGTGTTTATATGTTCATTTCCCAGCAGAGTTCTGTAATTTCAGAGCCTTAGAAAGTATCATTAGAGCCAAGGACTTTGAGAATCCAAAATTACATGAAGATCGTTCTGCCTCAACCTGTGAATATGAACCACATGAACACGAATCTCGTAGAGGGATTGTTCCGTCCACTAAAAGATTTGACCCACAAAGTACTTTCCACACATTGTCAGGTTTTTCCTCCATTCCCTTCATTATCTTTAATGTAGAGGCATCGTCATCAAAGTGGAATTTTTTAATTTCCTATAATTCAGCATAACACACAAATCTTTCAGGGGCCAGTGGCCTCAGTTGATTAGACTTTGGCTGATGTTTAAGAGAAGTTTATTTTTTACGCCTCTGAAAGTGGTTTTATTTTTCCTCATTTAGGGTAGTACATACCCAGCTTGGAGCATCTCAGTTGGATTCTGACCCTCTTTAAAGGTTATTGTTTCCTTAGGCCAGGCCATGGATTTGCTGGGCTGGATAAAAACAAAACAAAACAAAACAAAAAAAAAACCCTGAGAGCCATGGGGCTGCTGGGAACTGGAGTGAGCTTCCTGCCAGAATTGTAACATTCTTTGAGGAAGGACATCTTGACTTTGGAGTCGAACTTTAATTGGAAAAAGTTATTCACCTTAAGAAAAATACTTAACTTCCTATATGATCTTGCCCCGGATCTATGTATTCCATATATTATAAATCTAAAAATTACACTTGTCCTGCCTTTTGTGAGTTCACAGGGAACTGAACCATGTATGGTGGATGTCTCTGGAATTGTGACATGCCCTCAGTTTATTCTCAGCAGAGAGACTGGCCTTGTATTTCTAATTCACCTGCATCCGAGTTTCTCAAAGAATATGTATTCGTATAAGAATTTTTGAAATGCTAGCACAAGGCAGATGTTGAGATTCCCTTAGCCAAGGGACACAGAGGACGGTAAAAGAGAGTGTTAGGGTATTTAACACTAGTGTCCTGGGCCTGTTCCCAGCCAGTGCCTCTTGCACCATGGTCCCCCAGGAAGCGCTGTTGAAGGAGTTAATAGCTGAGGTCAGCGACTGCCTCAGCCAACTAGAAAGGTTAAAGGGCCATGATTCCCTTAGGCGTGAGGATGGGAAAGTTGGGGTACAGCGCCCATCTTGGATTCTCAGCACCCGTGGGCACCTGTCCCTGCAGATCCAGATGTACCAGCTGTCGCGGCTTCTCCACGACTACCACAGAGACCTCTATGATCACCTGGAGGAGCACGAGATCGGCCCCAGTCTCTATGCTGCACCCTGGTTCCTCACCGTGTTCGCCTCGCAGTTCCCACTGGGCTTCGTAGCCAGAGTCTTTGGTAAGCATTCTCCTGTGGAGCAAGAAGCATTTCTTGTCACTTAATCCTGGATCTGCTTAATTTTGTAACTGTGCCACTCATTAGGAGCAGGGTATTACTGACAGGCTGAGTTTAGTGAGGGTTGGTTTTGGGACTCCTGCATCCTGGATTTCCAGAAGCTTCCCTAGCTGTCTCTACCTTGAGAGTTTAGTCAGATTCCCCTCACAGCCCTATGGCTGTCCCTAAGGGAGTCTTGGTGGGGCAGACTTGGCCAGGAGCCCTGTCTTCAGCCTCTCTGCCCCCTGCCTCTGGCCTGGTACTCTTTCTGGGTTCCTTTTCTGTGTCCTCCTTCCCTTCTTTGCTCTCGCTGCCTCTAGCTCTTCTTTTCTCTAGTTACTTTGGAAGACCTCTCCGTCAGGTTCTGAGACAACTCTGTGGGTGACTCTCTCCTCCTCTACCCTGACACCTCTCACACCCACGGCTATGCCCTGCTGTGACCTTAGGTTGTCTGTGGGCCACACCTACCCTTTTCTTGATTTTACTCTTTGAGAAGCATGGGAGTTCATGGGTAAAGTCTCACAGTCTCCTTGAGATAAGCAGGGACAAGGGCCATCCTTTTGCATATCGGGAACCTGGTGAAATACCATGAGCACAATCAATTCTTGTACGACTTATTTTCCCCAATTTAAAATGAAACTAACATTTTTGACAATTCAGGTTCTATTCACTTATTTTTTTATTGTGAAGGAAATGTCCTTTATGGAAAGTCATTTGATAGTTTAAAAACATGTAATCTTATACTTTCAAAGATTTATTTATAGAATCAAAGAACATCTTAAAGGGAATGTAGAGAAACACTGATATTACTATTTCAGGTGTATTTTGTAAATTTTACATATTATATAAAAAGCCAGGTATGGTGACGTACCCTATAATCCCAGCTCCTTGGGAGGCTGAGGCAGGAGGATTCCAAGATCAAGACCAACGTGGATAATTTAGTGAGACCCTGTATCAATAATAAAATAAAAAGTGGTAGAGTGGTAGAGTGCTTGCGTAGCACACACAAAACCCTGGGTTCCATCCCTAGTATTCGGGGGAAAAATTACAGATATTAGATCTCTAGCTGTGGCCTTCAGTTTTTCTTGTTGTTTTGTTGCCAGTGATTTCTATGGTGGTTTTTTTTTTTCTTTCTTTACTTTGGATAAATTTTTAAAAAATACATCAACCCACCTTACTTATAGTTTCTCATAATTCTGTTTTTTAAAAATTTATTTATTCTAATTAGGTATACATGACAGCAGAAAGCATTTTGATTCATTGTACACAATTGCAGCACAACTTTGGTTGGACACAATGCAGCATCACACCATATGTGCAGTCATACTTGCATCTGCGGTAATGATGTCCATAATTCTGTTTTTCATACAAGGTCACAAAGAGGACTGAAGATTGAGGGAGAGAGGAGAGAATGCCATTTGTTAGTTTGAAAATAGCCCAGGCACTGAATTCCATGGTTTGGGAAGAAAGTCCTCCCCAGGGAGCTGGGCTGACCACCAGCTGGAGCTGGAGGAACTGCATGGTGGCCACTGAGTCACCCCTGCCTGTGGACCACTGCTGGAGCTTCTGCCTGCAGGGAGTTCTGGGCTCTGGGGAAAAGTCTTTCCTTAGGCTGCATAAGTGGGCAAAAGACATGAAAAAAGAAGCAAAGAGCCCTTCTGTTGTGAAATAATTTAGAGCTCTCTGAAGCTCCTTCTAGAAATGAGTTCATAAATAAAAGCTGAGGAGGATGTTTTTCTCTGTGGAGGCAGTGGTGGGTTTTGGAGTTTCTTATGTAGTATAAAGGTGCCAGTGTTGCCTACTGGATTAAGTGGGTTCCTGTCTGGCTGATTGAGGGCGCCAGGGATTACAGGCAGCCATGGGAGCTCAAGGAAGCCTTGTGCTGTGACGTCACTCTGCAGACTCTACTGGATGTTTTTGCATAGTCCTTATAGCCTTCAGGACTTGAACAATTTAGTTGGTTCCACTGAAAAGATGTTTTTTAAAAACCATTTCTAAATACAGTTTTGGTGACTTTAACCCTGTTTGTTGAGCCCCAGGTGGAAGGTAGCTTAGTTTTAAATTCTGAAGCCTGCCATCCAGACTCTCATCTTTTTTGGCCTGGGGCCCATTTTATTATAAGCCTTTAAGCCTGGATAAACCCTAAAAACAAACGGACCTTTGTTGACTGTTCACTGTTTTATACATCAGTAAAAGATTCTCCGCTTGCATCAGCATAGCTCACGTATGAATTATAGGTCACTTCAGATTAAGGAAATCAAGGATTTGCTATCTGAAGGGCAGCTACCAACAATATGTGTGCCTCAGCCATGCTTGGTAGTCACACTGATTAGCTGTCATCCTGCCTGGTGCCACACTGCTCTCCTCTATGTGTTTCTGGTTGAAGGTTAGCAGGGCCTTGGGGAAAATGCTTATTCTGTTCACCTTCTAACCACATCTTCCTGTAGGGAAGAAAAATCCAGAAAATAGGAGCTGCTTGCTCCTACTGGTGGAGGAGGCTGCAGTGTTGGGCTCCTAGTGTTTTCCTCTAGGATGTCCTGCCAAGGAGATGACGAGGTGGTGGGGCATGAAACTGAGGGTTTTGCATAAGCCACCTGTAATGCAATGCAGGCTTTAGTGAAGTTTTAGGACAAAAATAGACTGGGAAAACAAGTATGTCTGTATGGCCAGGAAACCGTCTGGCCATTCAGGCAATGTCATGCAGTGACAATGAAGTGAGTTTTTAAAAATCTGTATAGTAAGCTGGGTGTGGTGGTGCATGCCTTGTAGATGGTAATCCCATCTTCTCAGGATGCTGAGGCAGGAAGATAGGAAGTTCAAGACCAATATGGGCAATTTGTTGAGACCCTGTCTCAAAAATTTAAAAAAAAAAAAAAAAGAGTTGGATATGTAGCTCAGTGGTAGAGCTCCCCTGCGTTCATTCCTCAGTAACAAAAGGACAGAAGGAACGAATCTGTACAGTTGTTGTCAGCTTTCCTGACAGTTGTTGTCAGCTCCCCATCTGCTCCTGATAGGAATGTGCCACAACCAGCAGGCCACAGGCTCCTGAGAGAAAGTCAAGGAGAGGGGTTAGCCTGGACAGAGACAGGTGGCTGGGAAAGAGAATACCACGTGAGTTCACAGAGGAAAATTTCACTTTGAGATCACAGGATTGTAAGTAGAGGTCCTGTACGCTGGAACATGGGAACAGGACTGTTGCAGCATCTCTAAAGGGAAGTAGCTAGTGGAATTCTCAGCGAATAATGTGCGAAGTTGTGGAGTCAGCCTGATTTAACATTCCCTCAGCTTCCTGTGTGTTTCTAGGAGGCTTGAAAAAACTGAGAGGAAAGGGAAGGGACAGGAGGAAAGTCCTATGGAGAGGGATGGACTGCAGGTTGTGCCTGGGCTGCTGCAGTGCTGCTGATGCCTCCAACAGTTCTCTGCATACAGTGGTTTCCAGTGAAGACCTCAGTGCACCTTTCCCAGGACATTACTGGTTTAAAAAAATCCAGCATGCAAATGGATATGGATATGGATTGGAAGCCATACAAAACTAAAATACTTGGGGTGAAGCAGTGGGGGGATTATAGTAACTTATTTTACAGCCATTGAAAAATTATCTTTAATTTCTAAAATTTCTAGAGTGAGGGGGGAAGTACTGATTATGTAAATATAGAGTCTCTCCCAAATGCCGTCAGATAGATTTAAAAAAAAATTTTTTTTTTAGTTGTAGATGGACATGATACCCTTATTTTATTTATTTTTATATGGTGCTGAGGATTAAACCCAGTGCCTCACACATGCTAGGCAAATGCTCTACCACTGAGCCACAATTGTAGCCCCTGTCAGATAAGATTTAGGAGGCCAATTGTCCCATGCCAGTTGAGGGGGTCTTCCTTCAGCCCTTTCAGCATGTTCTTTCATCAGGTACCCAAATGAAGTTCTTGTTTAAGACCTACCCAGTCTACCAGAAGCTTCTGGGCTGAAGTGGGCACTGGGAGCAGGAGGTGTGGGAGGTGTGAATGGAGCATTCATCTCGACTGCCAGTAGGCCCCATAAAAGGCACCTTTTCTCTCTTAAGCTAAGGAGCTCTTGCCGGGATGAGACCCAGAACCTAGATGTCATTAGCGTCACCTTCTTGCCAAGGCACTGACCCATTCAGAGCAGAGGTAAAGTGGGCAGTTGCGGAAGGCTTTACGTGCCTTGACCAGAGTGGGAGTGGAAGGCCTTGATGAGCTGGCTGTGCACCCCACAGTCTGCCCCACATAGCCAGTGTTCTTCCCTCTACCAAAGTGCCTTCAGTCCCCTGCACAGGAGGGGCTTCTCTCACACCTTCCCCACCTACACACTGCTCAGGATGTTACTGCCTGACTTCTCACCTAGCAGTTCCCACTGGCTCTTCAAGCACTCACCATCCTTGGTCCTTCCCATCTTCGTTATCCTCATAGCACCCTGGCTACCAAGCCAGCATGCATTGGTGTCTCTGCAGTTCTTCTTTGTGCTTTTGTTCATGGCTAAATCCTCAGTGCCTGATAGCAACTAATGCTTAAGTTAAATTAGAAGAAACTCCTCAGGAAGAGTGCTCCAGAAGGTCTTGGGTAATATAGGAAAGAACCTTTCCATTTTATTCCATTAAATGCAAACAGACCCAATAAAATACACATGACCAGGGTTATATTTTTTTTTAACATAGCAATAAAAAGACAAACACACAAACACTTCTCCAAATTTTCTTTCATTTTCTTCATACAATCCAAAAAAGTCCTGGTTTAGAATTGTAAGAAGCACTGTCTTAAGTCATTGTGAAAACAAAGATTCTAAGGATATGAAAGTCAGAAGACCTATTGCTGACTTCAGAACCACTGATCTGGATTATATATTTGATCATGCTCTTGAAAGCTCCCAGTGATTATCTCCGTTGGCTTAGATGTGGTGATAGTGCACCTAATTTTAAGGTACAGTTTTAAGGTACTTGTTCCTCAGAGACTAAAGATCCCAAGCCATAAGAAATCATTTATTTGACAATGAAATCCTTTCCCCAAGATTCTTGCAAAAAAAAAAAAAGATCAATTTTTATTCTGAAAGAGAAATTTTTGTAAAGCTATAAAATGTTCATATATTAAAAGGAAGTTGTACTAGCTTAACCACTAACCTCAAATCTAATTTGTCTTTTTTTTAGCAATATCATTTCTGTTTAAAAATGCATCTTGTACTATTATAGATCTTTTAATTTTATTTCCTGTAGTGGTGAATTACATAAATAGACCATATTTTTAATAAACATTTGCTGGAATATTCTTCCATGGCACTGCCTCATTATGGATCATACTTCCCTGAAGAAGTTTAGTTTTCAAAGATCCCATTGGTTCTCTAATTGTCTTCGGAGCCTCGACAGCCAGCCCTGTGTAAGAATACCAGGGATCTGGTATCCCTTCCCATCCTGGGGCCACCTAGGACCGTCAGCAGCTGGGATGTTAGTGAAAGCTGTGTGGTACCCATGCTGATCAGCCATGGCAGGCTGATCTCAGGACTGCCGTCACCTAGCATAGGACCTGTCCCAGCTAGCACCAGCTCCAGTTGTGGTTAGGGCTTTGTGAAGTCACAGCATCTCAAGGGCTAACCTGATAGGTTCCCAGGCCCCTTGTTTCTGCTTTTTGCACTTTGTTTGGAGACTGCTCTGACTGAGTTCCCTACAGGCAGAGCAGCAGTCAGCCTTTGCTTTGCTGCTGCTTAATGGCTTTTACATGTTATCAGACCAAACCTGGAAAGGTGGCCTAGCAGGGATTTTCTAACCTCTTTTTTTCCCCTCAGTTTTCTTGAATTGACATTTACAACTGCTTCATTCTTTCCATTAGCCTGTAGCCAAAAAGCAAAAGAAGAAAAAAAAGAAAAGAAAGAAAGAAATTCACTCTTGCCTCTGATTTTACTTCTACTTGTGTCTTTAAAATTGTATATTTTTTCTTATGCTTATTATTCCAGTTATTAGATAACTGGTCTGAGTTTAGTCACTTAATTACTAGTTGCTATGGCTATGCTTTAACCTCAGGACATTTGCTTCTCTTTGTCCAGTGGAGTCACTTCTCCAAGAAAGGGGGAGATGGCTGGGTTGCTTTCAACTGGTTGACTTGGCCACTTGCCTGCCTGCCCTTGCACTATGTAATATAAATATAGGCGTTGTTATGATTTGCCAGTTTCTCTGCAAAAATATAGCAAGAACTTGAAAGTAGCCTTGACAAAGTTCTTTAAACTCCTTAGCGAGAAAAGTGTTTTTTTTTTCATCCATTATTATATTGAAATTCAGGATGCTCATTTATATAATGTGCTTTTGCAATGGTGTAGACTTTTTACAGTTTTTAGAGATCTTTTTAATCCTATCCATTATTAGAAAACTGTTTTACTTATTCTATCTTAATTTCCATAAAAATATCTTTCAGTTTATCCATTTAAAAATGTTTTAGTAACTTCTTTAAAATCCAGAACATTCTTAGAAAAAATAAAAACCATTTTCTTTTTCTCAATATAACTTTTAAAGCATACTTGAATTTAAATCATTTTCAGAGTGGGGGAAAAGAAAGATTTATATGAACCTGTGACAAAGTCTAAGCAGTGTGTTTTTCTATTATTTTTATTATTTGCAGTATTGTCTTGACAACCCTATCTGAAATAGCACACTCTGAAAAAGAAAATAAAATTTGCAGTTTGGGGTTATGTTTCCTACCCTTCTGCTCTATGATGTGAAGAAAAGGAAACAGAATGGTATTTTGTCAGAAACAGGCATGACTTAACTCTGTTTCTGTTTTCCCAGATATGATCTTTCTTCAGGGGTCAGAGGTCATATTTAAAGTGGCTCTGAGTCTTTTGGGAAGCCATAAGCCCTTGATTCTGCAGCATGAAAACTTAGAAACCATAGTGGACTTTATCAAAAACACACTACCTAACTTGGGCTTGGTACAAATGGAGAAGACCATCAATCAGGTATGATTCAGTCCTGACCTTCCAGATACTTATCGGTTCCTGGGTCTGTAAAAGCTTAAATTTCTTCTGAGCAGAAGCTGTTTCCTGCTGCTTTCTGTTCTGAAGAACATCTCTCATGGTGCCTGGCGTGTAGGAGGCACATCACAAATATATGCTGCGTGATTAAATGTGTGCCTGGGTGTATATGCTGTGAGTGTCATGGTGAAATGATGCAAGGAAACTTGGGGGCAGTGTTCAGGTGTGGCAGCAAGTTCAAGTCATCAGTAGTTGCTTTCATTTAAGAACCTTCGGCTCTAGTAGTTCTCCTGAAATGTGTACATTTGTACAGTGTAGACTTTCATAAAATGAATGATTTTTCTGTTGAATGGTATTAATTGAAATTAACTCTTTGATAGCAGAGTTGTGTTAGGGGCATATATTCTATGACTGTGTAGTTTTTTGTGCTTTTCCCCCAGATTTCAGTTCCACATCTGTGGCTGCAGTGCCTCTGGTTTCTTTCTGTGGTAGAGTTGTTGCTGTCTGAAATGGTGGAGTTTTAGAGGTGGATTTGGCTGAGAATTACAACTTGGCCAGATGGTAAATGGTTTGGATTGGTCCTGGGAGTAGATTTCAGTTCTGTGTAAGGAAGAATCTTGCGGTAACTATTGCTGATAATGAAGGGCTAAGCAGTTTAGCAGAAGACAGTCCTCATCAAGTGTCCAGAGGCCAGGTGACCAAGAATGTGCTGGAAGAGGTTTCATCTCTGGGTCACTGCATAGTCAGCAGTCAGGCCTCTCCTAAGTCTAGAACCTGTTCCAAATGTAATGAAAATATAGAGCAGTCAGGTAAAAGCAAATAATAGAATGAAGCTTTTTTTTTTTAATCCTTATTCTGGAGATTTCTTATAGTCCAGCTGATCCAGCAGTTCCAGTGGATTGCATCCAGATGCAGTGTTTTTGATCTTCATTTGCTGCTCCATCTTAGGTGTTAAGCACAAGTTGGCCTGAAAAAGGAGAGTTTTCATACCTGTTGTTACTTTGGACCTCTGCTCATTGCATAAACCAGTGTGAAAGAGGATTTCCTTCCCACTCACACTGATCTTGAGCTAACTAATAAGCTCCATTCTTGATGTTATTTTACTTCCCTGGCACAATCCTCTGGAGGTGGATGGCTTTGGCTTATTGAGTCCTTGCTTTTTGCTAGGTTCTAGGGAATCTACACATACATATGATCTCATTCAGTCATGACCGCATTCCTGAGAGGATATAAAGTGGTTAATTTACTGGCCCACACTCACTCTGCAGTGGAGGGGAAGGGTGGGGCTTCAACTTGTCTCATCTCAAATTGCTTTAGCAGCTGTTCAACATTCAGTGCCTCTGGGAGTCATTTAATTATGGAGCTTTCTTTGTTTTATCTGCATCCTAATACTGAATTATCTGCCTTTTGCATTATTTAATTTGTGTTATATTTATATTTATTCCCTTCTTATTTCTTTTTCTGTCTGTTTCATAGCTGCTGGGCAAACCAGAGAGCCTTGCTTACCTGGACCAAATCTTCATCTAGTGAGTGCCCACTTCCAGCTTGTCCTGGCTCTGGGACAGGCCTCTCAGTGACATTCCGTTTACTTTCTGGGTGTGGAACTCCAGGAAGAATCCCATTTCTCCCCTATTCCATAAAGGGTAGTACTTACCCAAAGTACCTGATATCCTAGTAGTCATCAGGTACCCTCTAAATGTTGGAAGTGTACAAATGGGAAGAGAAATTGTGTAGAGATGTACCTGATTTGTTTCAGGTAACTGTTTTGAATTTGGCATTCAGTGTTACACTGACTCCTTAACAAGTCTAGGATTAGTATAGTAAGGCAACGGGGCTTAGAGAGTAACATGCCCGGCACTGCATGCCTGAGGGCAGGGCTTACAGGGGCAAGGCCATGGGTTCCTGAAGGCTGCTGCTAGAGTCAGGTGGGAGAATCCAGACAGACTTGGAAGAATAAGTCAGGGTCATCCAGCACCTTGCAGAGTGGCAGGAAGTGTTTTAGGCTTCGCAGCTCACAAGGTCTCTGCTGCAGCTCTTCAGCTCTGCCTTTGTAGTGCTGAAAACCCATCAACAACATGTAAAGGAATGAATTGGCTGTGTTGCAATAAAACTTTATTTACAAAAATAGGAAGTGAAACAAATTGGTTCACAAGCTGTGGCTTGCTGACCCCTAAGCTGGAAGATAACAACACATGCCAGAGGCTTAGAGTGGGAGAATGGGCAGTTCCAGGTTCCTGGGATGTTACAGCAGTCAGACCTCTCCCCTTCCGGGGGAGGGGGTGGTGTAAGGGTGTAGGTTGCACAGAATCTGCAATGGGGGCCCAGATTTTCATTTCAGCAGTGATTTTGGTAGAAAACAGATAAACTCTGCATAGTCTCCTTGCCTTCTGTTTTTGTCTAGAACCTGGCATCTGAGTGTTCTGTTAGCCTGGCTATCTCTTCCCCGCCAGAGAGTGCTTGAGTCTTGAGTCCTGTGTGGAGATCAGATCTGGGCATGGTGCAGTTCTTCAGCAGGCTTAGAGCTGCCAGGCCTGAACCTGGGCGGTCCACGGGGTGAAGGTGATGTGTGCTCATTGCACACCTCAGAGCATGGGCCCTGAAGATGACAGGTTGCAGTGGGAGAGTAGAGTCTGGGGGGTTCTCTGTGACAGCTATAGCCCCATTTCTTTATGTGCTGTCCCTATAGTCAGCTTGGTCAACATTCTGAATGGAAGAGAGACTTTTGGGCCAAGGACAGGGTTCTGGAGCTCTAGTTCAGTATACCCAGGTTGGGATCAGCCACAGTGCATTGACAGTGCAGATAGAAGACCCAGGGTCTCCAAAACCTCCATGACAATTCCTTAGTGTGACCTTATACTCTCTGAAGGAACTGTCAGTTGCATGTAAACACTAGCATCTGCTGACCCCAGCCACAGTTGGGAGGGAGAGCCTGTGGTCTCTTTTCAGCATCCTTTGGGTCTATTCGTTGTGGCCCCAGCATTATCATTAGATCAGACTCTGGAGCCCACCCCAGACCGCTGAGTCAGAGTCTTTATTTTTACAAGATCACCTGGGGACTCACTTCTACAGGACCATTTGAAAGCTCTAAAACTTTAAGAACTGGTCTCTTGCAATTGAGCTTGGTAGGATGAAAGCAAAACCCTAACAAAGTTCCTGTGTTCAGAAGATATTGCAACTGTGAGGTGGCTTCTTCTGCTCCTTGGGGAGGGAGCCCTCCAGTCTTGGGCAGTTTGCACTATTGAAATGATTAGTTTTGTAAAAGGACCAACAGTGCCCCACCAAGAGGGTGGGACAGTAGAGAGAGTATTTTACCACTGGCATTGTTTAAAATTGCTCACATGTGGTGGTAATAAAAGCAGACCAACTCTTAGTCGACTTTTTTGTTTTTAAATTTACCACAGACAGTGCTCCCCTTGCTGCCGACACCCATGCCAGCTGCTCCCACTGTCCATTCCTGGTGATTGGGAAGCAGGGTCTGGGGATTAGGAAGGTGGAAAGTATGTGGCTAGTTCTGCAGGCCACCAGAGTTAAGGCTTTTATTATACAGTGTCCATGAACTACAAAGAGAAACCCTGAGTCTCCCATAGCAAATGAAGAACATAAACAATCCACTGAAGGGGAGAGCCAGTAAACACTTGTCTGGGAAAATACTTAGATTCATGCATAATTTAAATTTCTGCATAATATACAGTGCTTACCTACTAGATGACAAAACTGACATTTTTTAACGCCAGGATACAGCACCTAGGGTATACTGTATCTGGCACATTGGTACGTTGGCAGTGACATTGTGCCTTGACTGTTGTTTCCACTTGGGAAGCAATTTGGCAATATGTGTCACAAGCAGTAACATGTAAAACCTTTAACTCAGTAATCTCAGTTCTTGGAATGTATCCTTAGGATATAATCCAAAATATGGAAAGTCCATTTGTATAAGGGTATTATTTTGGAGTTGTCATTTATAATACAAAAATTTGAAAGTAATAAGATATCCAACACTTGACATAGTCATGGTACAATAAGTGGGTAGGACGCATGAAGTCATTTATTATGGTTATGAAGACACAGCAACATGAAAGAGCTCTTAGAATATACTATTAAATGAAAAAAAGTGAGAGGAAATTTTGTTTTTAACTAGAAAAACATTTATGGAAATAAGGATAAAAAGAAATAGAAGATGGGAATTTTATTAGTAATTTTTCTTCTGTTTTGCAAGCTTCCTATAATGTAGCTATATTGTTTTAATAACAAAAAATGAATGGTTTATCTTTGTGGCAAGATATTGAAAATCGGGTAATAACTAATCCATACTTTGGCAAACAGAAAAGAATGTTCCCTTTTCTCCTGTTCCAATTCTAGAACTTTCCTGAAACTGAGAGTCAGGATGGTGGGAAGGCATAGATCAACTCAAGTGCCGTCATCCTGCCATGGATCCAGAAGAAAGATTACATTCAGAGGGGCCAGGTGCCTTGCAGCTGTGGCAGGATGAGCTGAGCACTTGAGCACTGCTCCTCCACTACATCCCTGTCCCCGTCCTGTGGGGTTAGGTGTCTTTAACATTTCTCTTTTTTTGTTCAGGCTTTAATCTTAGGCCTTCCTGTTCTTTCTCTAGCTAAAACTGGCACCAGCAGTGTGTATCTTGTGTCCTCTTAAGTGTGCAAGGACAAGGATCCCTCCTGCCACCACCACCCCTTCTGTCCTTTGCCCAAGTAATTTGCCTGGGGCTAAACACATTGTTCAGGAACCAGGATTCTTTCCCCACCCGCCACACACTGTCATGGTTTGGGATCAATTCTGGGGCATAACTGCAGAATCAAGGTCTGTTGAGTGTTTTGGCAATCAGGAGGTGGTTGATGCAATTAAGCCGAGGCAATTAAGACCCAAAGTGGCTCCTACAGAGGAATGGAGGCCTGGAAGAGTGTGCGCCTTTAGCCACAGCTGAGAGCCATTAGTCATAACAGGTCATCCAAATGTGTAAAGAAACTGAGGTTTTGTTCCTGAGTTTTCTAGGTTAAGAGATGATTTAAAAATAAATTTTTTGTGGACAAAATAAGTAATTGTGTTTATGGCACTTATTTAGTACCAGATTTATAATTACACAGAGGTGCCACAGCACTTTTGTGGTTTTTGCTTTTCAAAAGTTCCATGACATGGCACCCATTCTAGTTTTGCTGAGGCACAATGTTGAAAAGTGGGGGTTTGTGACAGGTGTGTGCAGCCAGGCATGTGCAGGGTGCTGTGTGAGTCATCTCATTTCATTCTCAGCACTGGTAGGTGGTGTCATTTGCCCCATGTTGGAGGCCAGGAACTGAGGATGGGGAGGTTAAGTAATGCTCTCAAGATGATTTAGAGTTTCCAGTAGAGCCACCATTTCATCAGTGACCTTGATGGTAACATGGAGGTGGTGATTGCCACTGACCTCTTGGTTATTCTGGAGGCCAAGGGAAATCAGTTCGACACAGTCCCCTTATCTCTCTCTCTCATCCACTTGATCTCATGGTCTCATGCATGATCTCTTGTAGTTTAATTCTTAGTCACAGAATGACTTTTGAATCCGTTTAGTGTTAATCACTGCATTAAACTGGAAACCAGGAAGATGAAAAATTCACCTTCATGGAAAATAAGATTATTGGCAATTGTGACAAAGTAAACATAGCTTTGGGGGGAAAAATTGATGCCAAGGGAGGTAGCTTGGATGTTCACAGGGTGCCAACAGGGGACGATAGCTTCCCACTGCTTTCTAACTTGTGTTGGAGCTTGCTTTGTAAGGAAATGCAGTAGAGGTAGCTCTGCTCTTGCAAAGCCTCACTTCAGTCTGGAGTGTGTTCTGATCAAGCAGACATTCACCTGGGCCCGGCGCAATTGCATTCTCAGGTCCACATGGGGGCCTCATCCCTTGTGCTGGGAGGCCCTGGCCCATAGGGTTCCTTGGGAGATAATGGGAAGGAAAGAGGACATACTGGGCAACAGCAGCATCTGTCTCCTGACTCCCTGCCCCCTTGCCCTATGGAACCCTGTGGCTTTCTTGCCAAGAGAAAGTACAGACACCATCCCTGAGTCACTTGTGCATGTAGAGCTTCATTTCACACACGTGGTTTTTTCATCACTACTGCTGTGATGGGAAGGGAGACAACTCAGGCATTGTTTCATATTCACTCATCTGTGTGGGTGGCATTTGGGTTTTGGCTCATTTCAGCATATCTGAGCAAAGGACACAGTTCCATTACTTAGCTGTTCTTGAAACTCTGAAAACTCAGCTGAGTTATAATTAAACTTTGACTTTGGTGACTGTGCAAATAGACTTCTATTCTTTTGTTTTTTTTTTTTTTCTCCCTTTAACCCATAGTTGATCTAAGCTAATAGAATTTTGAGAGAAAATAAGTAATAACAAAATAAATTTTTGGAAGTTTTTTTAAAACTAAGGTTTGGCTTTTGGAAGGTGAGTATCAAGAACCTGTACTTTTTGTTACCTCAGAATTATTTCTGGATGCCTCTTCTATCCTTTCTTCCCAAATTAAATGATTACCTTTTCAGCATAGAGAGTTTTCCTTATTTATCATGTCTTGCTAAGCATATTGCTAAGCATGAAGAGGTGATTGATAGATGCTCAGTGACGTGTGTGTGTGTGTGTGTGTGTGTGTGTGTGTGTGTAGGCTTACATGTGAAATTTTTCTCTTATTTGGAGCCTGATGGCCTTTCTGTATCTAACAGGTGTTTGAGATGGACATCGCTAAACAGTTACAGGCTTATGAAGTTGAGTACCATGTACTTCAAGAAGAACTTATTGATTCCTCTCCTCTCAGTGACAACCAAAGAATGGATAAATTAGAGAAAACCAACAGCAGCTTACGCAAACAGAACCTTGACCTCCTTGAGCAATTGCAGGTAGAGCATATTTATTAGACAGCTTCCTGAACCATGGTGCATAGTCGTTCATTAACTCACCAAAGGCACCAGCAGACTGGGCTTTCCCATGACCAGAGGACCTTTTTCACCCTGATCTGTTTGTAGTTGGGATCAAAGGTATCTAAGGAGAATGGGTCTTTTTATTTCGGAGCAGACATATTATCCTTGCAAAGGTCAGACGGCCCCAGGGCTTTCTGGGAGGCTTTTTTCTTACCCTTTTAGGAGAGACCCAGAGACCAACCTGGCTCAGGATGCTGTGGCACTATAAGTCGAATGCCAGCGATTGTGTTTAGAGTAATGACAAGAAGCTGAGAGCCTTAACTGCCATGAGGGAAACAAGCTGGGTCTGCGGAGGGATGACAGGGGAGCAAAGGGACCCAGGAATCTACCTAACAAAATTAACTAAAACAGTGGTCGTTACTTGTGAATCTTTGGTGTAGATGCAAGCTCCCCTTTGAAACGTCCATCTCCATGTGGGTGAGGACCTAGAGGAGAGAGGTCACAGGGCTGTGCACATAGGGCTGAGGTGCAGCAGCACTGAGGCACGGTCCAGGCCCTGACCCTGCCAGACGTGGAGTAGCCCCACCCCCACTGTCACCTGGGCAGACTGTTACCACTCTGTCTTGTTCCCTTATCTGTGTGACAAGGACAAAAGAAGACCTCGATACAGAGAATAGCTCCTTTGTCAGTCAGATGACATAAAGTGGCCATATGTTCTACTTTTTTTTAATGTCATAAATGGGTGAATGCTGTTATTGTTCAGGGATTGTTTTAAGAGTATTTTTAAATTTTTAAGTTACTCTGGAGAAAAATGGATATTTTTCTTAAAATATGTATTTTATGGAGTTACTGGGCTATGGGTAGAATAAACTTTCTATCATGATCTGAGCCTGACTGTTCTGTAGAAAGTTCCTGCTTTACAGACTGGAACTTGGCTGTGATATGAGAAGGGCCAGCATTTGAGATCCTAATATAGACTAGCTCTTGTCTGAAAGGCATTTATCCCAGCAGACCCTGGTAGATGTTTGCTGATCAGGAACAAACAGAAAATACTTTCCTTAACCAGTCCTAACTACCAGTCACATTCTGAAACATTTTTTTCTTCAAGAGTGAAAATGTGCCTGTATACACTGTCCCCAGAAGTCTGAGCTATAACCCGAAGGGAGGTCTCAGGGGAACAGAAAGCCTCATCAGGCCTGCAAGAGTACAGTGCAAGTCACAGTACAGGTGACCATTTAAAATGGCTTCTGAGCCAACAGCATGTCCCTGAAATATAATGTGACGGAAACCCTTGTAATGCAGCTCCCATTTGCACTGGAAGCATCTGTCTTGTTAAGACCAGCGGACTCACATAAAAGGCTCATTTTCTTAAGCTAATGCCCAGGTGGTTTTGGTGATGAAGAGTGGGAAACCATCTGATACAGCTTCTGACCTTTAGAAAGGTCAGGGAGTTGAGAAAAAAAAGATGCTCATTCCTCAAGAAAGTGGTGATTGGTAATTATAGATGTTCTCTCTGGAATGGTCTTTGTCTTGACCTAGTGGTTCCACACTTGTGGGAAAATCATTCAGGATTCCTGTTTATGCCAGTGTTATGGTTTAGATATGAGGTGTCCCCTAAAAGCTCATGTGTGAAACAATGCAAGAAAGCTTAGAGGTGGAATGATTGGGTTATCAGATTTTAAACCTAATCAGTTGTTAAGCTCCTAATAGGGATTAATAGGGTGGTAACTATAAGTAGTTAAGGTGTGGTTGAAGGAGGTAGGTCACTGAGTGTGGGACTTTGGAGGTTGATTTTGGCCCTGGTGAGGGGAGCATGCTCGCTTGCTCTCTGTCTGTCTCACTCCGCTTCCTGATGCCATGTTTTGAACTGCTTTCTTCCTCCACACCTTTCTGCCTTGGTACTCTGCCTCACCTCAGGCCCAGAACAGTGAAGTTTGTCATCTGTGGATTGAGAATTCTGAAACTATGAGCCCCAAATAAACTTTTCCTCCTCTAAAATTGTTATTGTCAGGTCTTTTGGTCACAACAGTGAAAAACCTGACTAAGACAGCCAGTCACCACAATTACTGAGTCCTGGCTGTGCTGGAGACCACCAGGCTGAGTGGGACACTGCAGCTCTTTAAGAGTTGGGCTGGGTTGTGGTATGTTAGTGGGGGTTTTAGGTGTAGTTTTTCATCCTCTCTGGGACTATCCATCTCACATGTGGGAAGCCTGCCTCCATTTTGTACAAGAAAGGTGTCCAGTATAATCCTGAGGTTTTGTGTGTAACCCCCCCCCCACACACACACACACACTGCCTATATCAGAATTGACCTATTTCTTAACTTGGTTCTGTTCATATGGTTGATGAACATATCACAGTCCCTTCTTGTTTATTTGGTAAACATATAGGAATGTGTCTAGAAGCTAGAGGTGAAGTTCTTCAGCCTGTTTGCCCAGTAGCACTTCCAATGACGACATGGACATGCCAGACAGTGCCACATGGCAGTGCATGTAGATTTTTTCACTATAATCAGCAACTACAAGCTCTTGAGCACCCACACTAAGCTAGAGTCTATAGGACGCCAGATCATGTGAGAGAAGACGTGACTTTCTCCATAAAAGAGCTTCATTCTTACTGAGGAAAGCTGCCATTCTTGCAGAATGGGAAATGACTGTGCAAAGTTCACTACTAACCATGCAAAATTAGCTCACTTCTAAGCTGCATGTTTGTGAACATGTTTGCTATTCTCTGAGTTGTGTGGTATACCTTGCAATGCAGTGAGAATTCAGAGTGATGGGGTAGGTCCTGGTTCAGGCCTTGACAATGGGTAGGATTTTGATGGTCGAAGAGTAATGCATAGAGATGTGCATAGAGCTGACCAGCTGTGCCTGTTAGTCTTTTTTTTTTTTTGAGTGTTCTAGTGGCACAATTGGAGTTAGACCTGAGTTTTCTGTTCAGCACAGGGATTGTCGTTTTTTGTTTGTTTTTAATACTTTAATCCATTTATTTATTTATCTATCTATCTATTTATTTATTTATTTTATATGGTGCTCGGGATTGAACCCAGTGCCTTATGCATGTTGTGCCACAACCCCGGCCCCAGGGATTCTCTTACTAAAAAAATCTTTAACTGGTTTTGAAAACAAGAAAAAAATAGCTGTACCATTTTTTTCTACATCAAATATATGGGGCATGGAAAGGACTGGACTGATCAATGAGATAGAGTCATCCTGTACCAACCAGAGCACTGAGGGTATAGCTGTGAGCTCAGGCACGCGCTAGGCAGGCACCAGGGACCTTAGCATAAGTGTCAGAGCTGTGCCTGCTCTCAGGGAGCCCCTTCATGCCACTAGAGCAGACGCTTGTTGCCTGAGAATCCAAGCCTAGTGGATTAGAGAGGAATCCCAGTTGCTAGAGAAATACCTGGGAGCTCTGCCCACCTGGCACCCATGTGTTAGGTGTTGCAGATGTAAGGTGCATGAGATCCTCAGTCCTTGTTTGGAGCTAGAGTGAGGAAGCTGCTCACCTCTGAGGGTGGTGACTGGTCAGTGAGCTAGGGCCTGGTACCCTCTCAGCAGAATGCTGGGCCATCCTGTGTTCCTAAGGAAAGGAAAGTCCCTAGGTTTGTGATGTCTTTCTGTGGAAAATAAGAAAAGAAAGCCAGGCATGGTGATATACACCTATAATCCCAGGAACTCAGGAAGCTGAGGCAGGAGAATTGGAATTCAAAGGAAGCCTCAGCAATTTAGTGAGGACCTGTCTCCAGGTAAAAAAAAAAAACAAGGCTGGGGATATGGCTCAGTGGTTAAGCGCCCCTGCGTTCAATTCCTTTATTTATTTTATATGGTGTTTAAGCCCAGTGTTTAAGCGCCCCTGCCTTCAATTCTTTCAATACCAAAAGAAAATATTTTTCGTTAGAGAGCTTAGTACTCTGACCATCACGTGGAAGCCATTTTGACCATTTGTCAGTGTGGAATCAGTTTGTACCTGTAGCTATATTAGTATTATATGTAGTATTAGTCAGAATAGGCCAGGCTGTGGTCAAGTCATATATAAAGCTCCCCTCTCAGCCGCCCAGCACAAGAAGTCTGGGTGTCCCTGAACTCTCCTCCTTCCCCTGAAGGGTTCTTTGGCTGTGTCTTCCTGTCCTCCCTACAGTCAAGGGGGTCAGGTTTCCTCCAGTGCTATGCAACCTTCTCATTAGCTGGCACACAGAGTAGATAAAGCAGGGAAGAAAGTGCTAGAGGCTCTCGGGTGTTTGAGGGGCCTGCCCAGCTTGCCTGCAAGGGAAACTGAAAAAAAAATGGCTTCCTTTGTGGCCAGAACTGATAGTCAGCCATAGGCTTGTCTCTGCCAAAACACGGCTCCAAAGTGCTCTCAAGACTGGGCAGCAGCTGAGTGCACAGCGGCCTCACCTGTGTTACCATGGGCAGGTGCCTGCTTATTTCTCCTTCTGTTCTCCAGATGGCAAATGGTAGGATCCAGAGCCTCGAAGCCACAGTAGAGAAGCTCCTGACCAGTGAGAGCAAGCTGAAGCAGGCCATGTTGGCTCTGGAGCTGGAGAGGTCCGCCCTGCTTCAGGTGGTGGAGGAGCTGCGGAGGCAACCTGCAGAGCCAGGCACTAGGGAGCCAGACTGCACCCAGCCCGAGGCCTCGGGGGACTAATGGTTCCGGAGAAATTGTACACTATCCCAACACTGTCCAGGCCTTAACTAGGAGAGACAGAAGATGCTGGAGGGAGAAAACAAAGCGTGAAGCAAACTTCTCAGGGAGGAAACTGGCTTGCCAACATGCAGATTCTTTTGAGCTCAAACTTGCAATATAGAGGGCCCACGTCCCAGTTTTTTTTATTGTTTTAGGTTGTGATTTGTCCCTTCTCCAGCTTTATTACTGTACTCAGTAGCTTTAGATGGCATGGACGTGAATAAACGCACCTTTACTTTTCCTGGTTATTTCCTCTTTGAGTAGCACTATGTTGTAAAGAGCATTTGTAATACTGGGTTCCAGAAGCAGGAGAGGCTCAAAGATGATTCCTCAGGCAAAGTGTGAGTCTGTTATTCAAGAGAGGGTTTGCATGACCACACCAGTGAGGTACAGATGGCCCTTGTCTATTCTTATTATGGAAACCTAAGATGACCCTGGGGAAGGACTGAAATTGATTTATTTAAATTGGACATCTTGATCACTTTTAAGAAAACCTGGCTACTATCCTTGGTATTTAAGGAAGTTTGTCTTTTTAAAGAAATTGAGTGTTTCCATACAAATTTGCTGGTCTTTTAAGTGTGGTTGATCAAAGTCATGGTAGATAATATTTTCAGGGAGATCACCAGTGTTTAGACTCCAGCTGTGTGGCTGGCATGTGGCCCGCAGTGGTGCAGCCCGAGGTGTTTGCTTTTTGTGGAGGCTGCATTTCATACTATGGAGTCATGTATTTGTCCTTTCCTATTGTATGATGTATTGCAGCCATGTGTTCCTTGGAGTCATGTCTTTTTGAACTCTTTTGAGTTCTTTCCACCCCTTGGATATCTAGTTCCTTGCAGAAAGACAGGGCACATTGAGATTTTTAGAGGTGTCCAAGATTCTGGGACTTTAAAAAAAAAAAAAAAACGATGGGTCTGAACTTGCAATCAGATGTATGGCAGCTGACAGTTTTCCAGAGGTAGAACATGTGTTTTGAACAGAATTCAGAACCCAGCAGCAACGCCCTCCCTCAGGATGATGAGGACCCGTGCCTTCAAGCAAAATGCTGCTCATAGCTGCCCTGGTTTCAGCTGGTCACTGTGTACGGCCCCTCCCCTGTGCTCTCAGAATGGGTTGTTTTCTTACAAAGAATTAGAGAAGAACTGTGCGGGCACAGCTCACTTCCCTGACAGCAGAATCATTTCTGGTCTGTCTTATGTTTCTTGGGAGTTTCTTTTGACTCTCGTGGTGGTGGAGTCTCTTTTAAGTCCCGGATGAAAGGAGGGATTGCTATAGTTGGAGTCGTTTGAATCTCCTGGCCATTTCAAAGGGAGACCAAAATGCTGTTCCCTGTGCCTGAATGGTTGGTTGGCATTTGAGATTCCTTTCTGTTCCCCTGGATCAGAGAATAGTGGTTCTCATGTTCCTTTGAGTCATGGTTTACCAAGATGACACAGTAAAGTCTAGAAGCTGCTATCCCAAGTGGTTCCACTGGATAGCTCGGAGGAACGAGAGCTTCTTTCCACATCATATTTTACTATTTGAATGTTTCATAATGTTGAATTTTGGACATCTTACTACCCTTATTCAAAAATATTGACTCTGCATTAAGAAATAAGAAAGCAATAAAACAATAAATAACCTATGCCTGTGTTTTTATGGTGTTTGTTCATTTTAACTTTGCAGCTTTGGTTTGCAGCCCAAGAGTGCCTCATGCATACCTGTGTCCAATATGAATGTTAACTGTCACATTGTTACCCCTGCATACCTGTGTCCAATATGAATGTTAACTGTCACATTGTTACCCAGGTGTTGTGGTATTATGACACCTACACAGGGCGTGGATATTAGCACAGATGAGGACCAGCTCCACCAGGTGTATGTGACAGTGAGTGCTGTTCCAAGATTGCATTGGGCAATAACACCATTAACACAAGCCTGTGGGTGTAGATTGAACAGTCAGCCTGGAACTTACCAAGGAAAGATAGAGGCAACTCAGGTCAATGTGAAGATTTTTGGAGGCAGATTTTAAGGACATGTTTTAATTCTCCCAACATAACTATATGCACACACACATGCACTGCAAGTCCTGTCTTTAGATATCATTTGTGCCTCTTACACTAGACATTATGAGCCCTCAGGAAGAACATACTACATAGGGCTTGGATGCAGCTGGAGAACACTCAGCTTGCTTCCCTCTTAGGAGTTACATATAGATGGAAGAGCTGAATCTATTTGCAGGCTTGTGTGTCTGGTTTGATTGGGGAACCAGAGAAGAGTTGCTGGGGGTGAGGGGCTGAGGGATTTGGATTTTGTTACAAGAATTAGACGAAACCCAAGACTGAAAATCCAGAAGGAGCTGTGGGAATCAAGAGAAGTCACGAGAGTTAATCCAGCTGAGATGCAAAGCACAGCCAGCTGCTGAAGGGAGCCTGGCAGGAGGCATGGAGTTCTGTGGGAAGCTGATGCCAAAGTGATCTGGTGGGTCTATAGCCAGGGATCTGGGGCCAGCCTGGGTCAACACTTGTAAAGCAAAGGTGAAAGTGAAGCAGCAGAGGAAAGGCCACAGTGGAATGGACCAGGCACGCTGGACAACAAATGGCCATTTGAGAAAAATGGCTTGCTTCCCTTTTGCCTTCCAGAGCTCACACCAGCACATTTTGGAGCCAGTCCTCATTTGGAACCATCAGAAAATGGGACTCTGGGAAACGTGGTTCTGAATTAACCAAGTTGACATGGTACAAATGGCTGTGGTTTACTTTGGAACATCTAACTTGAATGTCAGCATACATGTAAGATGCATCATACAGAGGCCCTTCATCAAAGTGTATATGATTAATATTTCATAGAGTTCAGATTCATAGGTGGTTTTTGCCATTGATGGTGCAATACTGGAGATGAAAAACCACAGAAAACCCAGGCTGCTCCCAGACTCCCTGCCACCCTTCATCTGCTCCCTTCTGCCTGGTGTCACCAAATATTCTTTAAATGAAAATCCAGAAATGTTTCATGTGGTACAATAATTTACAAACCATGCTTTCTTAAGTCTAAACGCTGCTTTAAGGGTTTGTTATGGCTCAAAATAATCTTGGACTAGGGAAGCTGAAGGGAACCTATCTCTGCATACTAGAGAATTGGCTCCCATCTCATTTTGTATAGGACGAGCTAAGTCAAGATCAGAAAGGTTGGCTATAGGACCAGAGTAGATCCCTACTCTACTACCTGCCCAACAGTGGATACCACCCAATTTTAATCTCAGTCTATTTCAATTTTAAAATATTTAAAATTTTTAAAAAATTTTTAGTTGTAGATGGACATACAGTATCTATTTTTATGTGGTGCTGAGGATCGAACCCGGCATCTCACACATTCGAGGCAAGAACTTTACCACTGAGCTACAGCCCCATCCATCAGGAACCAATTTTGATGACAATATTTTACAAAGCAGATAGTTGGAGAATGGGAATAGGAAAGATAGTAGAATGGATTAGACATTACTATCCTATATGCATATATGATTACATGACCAGTGTAATTCTACATCATGTACAACCAGAAGAACGAGAAGTTATATACTCCATATATGTATAATATGTGAAAATACAGTCTATCGTGTAACAAATTTAAAGAAGCAGAGACAGAGCTGTTTCGTGTTCACAGGGTTTTCTGTTCCATGAGAAGTTCACATCTGGTCACTCTTGGAGGTGCTTATAATGCCTTTGATTTACCCGAGTTAAAAACTGGGGGATTCTCCAGTGAGTCCCCCCATGAGTGGATTCCAAGGCAAAGAGATGCTGCCAGAGGATCTCATTTAATCAGCTACGTTTATCCATTAGAGGCGCTCTTTGTTCTGGATTCGTATTTGTTGTCTTTGAACATTGAAAAACGTTTTCATTGAAATGTTTTTAGAAGAAAAATAACACAGAATTGCCTTTGGTTGTAGAGAAGGGAGCCCTTCCACTATGTCGAGTTTTGCGCTGTCGTCTCTAGAAATTATTGGAATGATTAGGGAATAAGTGTTCTGCTGTGGAGCAGCTACAGTGGTAATTTTTCAGACCATCTAAATTAATAACACTAAAATAGAAGGCTCTGAGTAGATAAAGGCCTTTTTAGAAAAACCTGTGAACCAATTAATCACTCGTTTGGGTTGCAAACCCTAATAGGAAAGTGTTTGGACTTACATCACCATGTGTATGTTTATTAATAAATTTGTGCATAACTAAATTATACTAGAAGTTTTGAATGAAGTAAAATAAATTCTTTAAAAATAATGTTGCTATCTGCTGAGGTTTTGGGTTTTGTTTTGTGGTGCTGAGGATTAAATCTGGGCCTTTGCCCATGCTAGGTAAGTGTTCTACCACCGAGCCCTAATCCCAAGCCCTATGCAGTCCCTTTTTTTTTTTTTTTTTTTTGGTACTGCGAATTGAACCCTGGGGCACTTAACCTCTGATCCACACCCCCAGCCCTTTTTATATTTTATTTAGAGACAGGATCTCACTGAATTGCTAAATTGCTGAGGCTGCCTTTGAACTTGCAATCCTCCTGCCTCAGCCTCCCAAGTTTCTGGGATTACAGGTGTGTGCCACCATGCCCAGCCCTATCCAGTCTTTTTTTAAGGACATCATTTTAAATGTTTTAAGACTGTGATCTACTACTTCAGATGTCAATTTCCTAGTTCAACTTAATATGATAGTTGGTATTTTGATGGTGGTTTTGCATTACTGGGGATTGAACCCAGGTGCACTCTTCCCCTGGGCTAAATCCCCAGCCCTTTTTATTTTTTGACAAATCTCACTAAGTTACTGAGACTGGCCTCAAATTGGTGATCTATTGCCTCACCCTCCCGAGTTGCTGAGATTACTGACATGCACCCACTATGTTGGACTGAGACTTGGTTTTGATGCACTCTCACAACTGGAAAAAAAAAAAAAAAGTAGCTTCTCAAACCTAGTAACTACATGGAGGAAAAACACTACCAATCACACTAAGTCATGATGCCCAGTATGCACTTTTGTTCACCCGTTAGACAGAAGGCTTTGTTGAAATCTGGCTAGTAAATTTCCATCTTCTCTGATGGCAGGCCATTCAAACTAATCAAAATGTGTTAAGAGTTTTATAATTTTAACCAAAGGCTTTAAAACACTGAAACTCTTTATTTGGAAACTTGAACAAATTATAAAATCATTTCCAAGTTTGTTTGAGTAACACCCTCACATAATTTTTGCCAAAACATGACCTAAACAATGGAAACACTTTGAAACATTCTTTTCTGAAAAGGCCTCTCCATAGCATTTTCTCAGTGAACTTTTCTTGGGTTCAACCCACTTGGAGCCCTCTGCTCTGGATATAGTGGCAGGGTGGAGGTAGAAGTTTCTGGCCATCACATGGCCACCTGCTCACCTGCGTGTATCTGTGTAGGCATACCATCTCTGCAGCAACCCTTTCCTGCAGAACTACAGGAGATTTGTGGTTCTGGGCTTGCAAAGTGCTTGGCTGGGTGGAGCAAAAAGAGCTGAACACTGTGTGTGTGTGTGTGTGTGTGTGCAGAATGGAGCCCGTGAATCACAGTACTTGAGTGCCTTTTCCTCAGACCCATGGTAGCTGACTGGGACAGCCTGGCATGGCCAAGATCTTGTACCTTTGTTATATTCTTTCTCCCGGGCAGGTTTGTCTGCTTTTTCTCAATCTTTTGACTACAATTTCCTACCCTTATTTTTCCCTTATTCCATAATTGGATCTGTGTTGTTGACTAGCTTTGAAGGTCTCCTTCCCACTCTTCTAGAAATGTCTGCTTTTTAAACCTTGTAACTGTATTTCTGATTTCTTCTATCTGTGGGAAAAGCTGACTCTGATTAACTGTTCAGCTCCAGCTCTGCAGGGTGACACCGCAATGTCCTATTTTGAAAACGTGTGCAGATGGTGAAGTGATGCATTAGGAGGGTAGAGGCAAGTTTGCTTGGAGGTCTATTGACTGGTATCAAATTCTGTTCACCTCAGTTCTGCCTGAATTTTCTATGAGAAGGGTATCACCTGTTTTCCTTCCTTTGAAGTACATGGCCATCAACTTTACTACCTTTCATACACTCCATCTAAACAGCCTGGTTACTCAGAAGGATAAAGTTAGCTTTTCCACTTAGAATCCCTCTCTCTTCAATAAGCCCTGTCTTCACAGTTGAGCCAGACTTCCCTGTCTCTTCAGGAGCAGTTCCACAGCCAACATGTCTCACCTGCTTGCCAGCTGCCTCTTCCTAACAAGGGTTTTGGTGCTCCCTACTACATACCAAGTCTTAAGCTAGGTTCTCAGGCCATCTGTTCAGTGTCTGCCTTCACTGGGCTTTTTATCTAGGAGGGGATCGGAGATAGGAGTGAGTAAACAAGATCTATCACAGGGTGGGGGGTTTCCACAAAGAGAAGCCTCACTGAGGAGCTGGGATTCCAGGGAGACTGGAAGGATAAGAAAAGGAACCAGTTAACAAAGGAGTGGGGTGGGGGTATTCTGAGAAGTTTAGTAGAAGAGGGAAGACGCCTTTCCGAAAGATGCATTGTGTCTTGTAACAAGTCCTTTCAAAAACTTCAAATCTGCTATGGTCTGAATGTTGGTGCCCCACTAAAATTCTATGTTGGATCCCCATATCTAGTGTGCTT